ACAGAAAGTAATGAAACGTTTACCTCCAGGCTTTTCTTCATGTTGTGAAATAAAAACAGTGTGGAAACACTGCACACAGGTAAGGAAACCCCTCAAGCTTCCTTACCAAATGTTAAGTTTTCTAATGATGAAAATGTCTTTAGAACTATGATTCCTCTCTGGTGCGCTGCCAAGCTTGTGCTTAGGTGCTCTCTTACTGTTACTTCTTAGCCCCAGGTTTTGGATGCCAGGACTGGTACAGAACTGGGTAGAGAGTCAGTGGAGACAGAGTGAGTGTGGCCAATAAGGTAAGAAAGGAGGAAGAATGATACAGGCTAAGAGCAAGCATGCACTAAGAAGTGAGTCCATCTTCATGTAACACACTCTGGCTCATCAACAGCTGAGTGGTGGCACATCTGCTTCTCTTGCCCAGACACCTCAGTCTCATTTAAACATGACAAAGGAGGACACGCATCACTAGAGCTCCCTCTCAGCTTCTGCAGTCTCCTAGGCAGGTAAACCTGGCATTTGTCTCACTGCCCTCCATACAGCAAGCCTTTGCTTTATTTGTGCCATGTTAACTTCCATGAAAAATATCGGCTTCTTTTGGCTACTTGTACATAGCTAAAATTCTGTGCGCTAGAAGCTGTTTTTTCATGCTGACGGTAAGATGTGGGGGGAAGGGAGCAGATTTCTAAGTTGGTGTGCAGAGGCAAGACAGATCAACTTTCCAAAATGCTGATCATTCAGCATCTACCACTGAAGACAGAGACCTCTTGTTCTCCATTCACCCTTTTGGTCTACAGCACAACAGCATCTGAAAAATACCTGTAAGACCCTTGACCAGGTGGCCTGAAGTTTACTACCAAGACCTCGCCCCAGCTTTTAAGCTAAACTCTCACTTCATAGCTCTTAACACAGTCTCCCAAGACATCATAATTTCCAAACCACCTAAAAGGTATTAGTTCCCATAGAATGGACAGGGCTCCATCACCAAGGAAAAGAAAAAACAGGGCAAATTCCCACGTGCCCATGAAATACCGATTTTATCTTTTTGTGCAAATTGTTGGACTAGCAAACCAGCACTCAGTGATTTACTTGTCAAGCAAGCACAGGCCAGGCTGTTAGCACTCACTAAGTGTGGTGTAAAAGGCAACGCTGCAAGGGATGGAGGCCAGGCAGGAGATTTACACATTGCTTATCAGGACAAAACACCTACTAAAAGCCTGCCCGGATAGAAGCGGCTTAATGGGAAAACAGCAGAAGTGAACTAATAGTTGGGTCAGCTGATTCACATGAAAATGAAAAGCACTCTACACATTTATACGCATTTACTAGTTTTGAAAGGGAGTTTCTCTAAGAAAGTTAAAGGCGAGAAAATTTTTTGCAGTTTATGTTAGAGAGGGAAGAACTAGCAATAAATAGAATAGTTATTTCTTCAGGCTGTGAAAACTGAGGATGACTTTGGCAGCAAGGGAGGCTAAATCTGCTAAAAGGCCATTTGCACGTAGCAAGGTCAACTATTTTTAGTTGGCAGTTCTTGTCAGCTTTGGGCTGCAATTCTAGCTTTTCTTCTTCTCTTTCTCTCACCCCAGCCTACAATTTAAAACTTTATTAACAAAAAGATTTACAGGAACATTTCATCTACTATACAAGTTCATTATTACTGTTTAAGAGTCCACTGTAAAAAGAAGTATTGTACTCGTATATACAGACCAGGACAAAACCTACATACTGGAAGTGAGAATATTCATTTTATGATATGCACCAGAATTCCAGTCCATGAACCTTTTGTAGAAATTTGGGTTTTTCCTATCCAGAAGTCTTAAATAAAAAATCCCACCCTATCAAACATACTTGACCCACCACTACACTTCCAGTGACTACTATGAAGACAGAATTACCTTGGAAAGGTTTTAGAATACCTACAGCTCTCTACCTAGGACACCCATGGCCATCTCCATCATTACTGAGAGGTGCCACCATGGAATCATGCTAACAGGTAAAAAGCAGCCCAAGTTAATTTTAACCTGTGACCAGGTCTGGAATCAACACTGCAGCATGCAGCTTCATTTATTTACAGTCAGATTGGCTCAACTGTAACCAAAGTCAGCAGAGTTATATTGGGAAGGAATACATCAGAGCATCATAAGTGCAAAAGTACCCATCACATAATCAACTACAACTCCTGGTAAATGAAGTATACTGAATTAAATATGAAAATATAAATAAATTTCCTATTATTTTGCTGAAAACAAACAAAACAAGGAAAATATTTTTTTAAATGAAACCCAGATATACTAAATAAACTCAGATTGATACAATGATGGATATGAACTTGCAAGGTCTTAGAAAAATCTGAAGCTTTCTGCTCCTTTTGGAAAGCAGGCTGTCACCCAAAAGAGAGAACAGCAGGTAATGAAAATGTCAGCAATGTTTCAGCTTCCATCTCTCACTTCACGTTGTCTAATTTCTGCCCTTTTGTGCTCATCTTATTATTGCTCAGTTCCCTAAAGCCTGAAGTTCCACTTCCCCCCTACTCACAGGCAAGCTTGTAAGTAACTGTGAACTTTGAGAAACGACCAGGGAGGGACAGAGTGGCACGAGACAAGAAAGCAACCCTCAATCCCTACAAAGGCAAACAAAGATAATAAATATCTGCCTTTATAATCCAATATTTAAATTAAAGGGGTGTTGCGGTGGGCAACACATTGTTCCTTCTCTTCCCTGTCCCACTAACCAGGCTTAGAACCTGTTCCCAGATTGCTCCATACAAAGTGAAACAGGAGGAGGTTTTCCTTATTCCCCAAAACTTTCCCTTTCTTCATTATAATGAAGCACCAGGTAAACCCACACCAGCTTGGTAGCTCCAAGCTCAGGCTCATATTTGTCAGCTTCTGTAGCATAAAGCTCTGCACCTGATCAGTCCCAGCATAAATCCATCATAAACTACAACCTCTACTTACTTAATAGAATCACAGAATGGTTTGGATTGGAAGAAACCTTAAAGATCATCTAGTTCCAACCCCCTGCCATGGGCAGGGACACCTTCCACTAGACCAAGTTGCTCAAAGCCACATCCAGCCTGGCCTTGAACACTTCCAGGGATGGGGCATCCACAGCTTCTCTGTGCCCACCTGCTGGCCACACTTCTCCTGATACAGCCCAGGATACGGTTGGCTTTCTGGGCTGCCAGCGCACACGGCCGGCTCATGTCCAGCTTTTCGTCCACCAGTACCCCAAGCCCTTCTCCTCAAGGCTGCTCTCGATCCATTCTCCACCCAGCCTGTACCTGCGCTTGGGATTTCCCCAACCCAGGTGCAGGACCTCACCCTTGGCCTTGTTGAACCCCATGAGGTTGGCAGTGACCGACCCCCCCAGCCTGTCCAGGTCCCTCTGGATGGCATCCCTTCCCTCCAGCGTATCGACCGCACCACACAGCTTAGTGTTGTCGGCAAACCTGCTAAGGATGCACTCGATCCCACTTGTCCATGTCACTGACAAAGATGTTAAAAACCTGCCGGTCCCTTTCTAGATAAGTACATTTTAGAGCATTTTAAATTAAAACATGAAAGAAAAAATACAAGGCTCCTCCCCAACAGCCATCCAGTTAAGGCATGTACCCAGAATGAGCAAGGTAGTAAGAGTCACTGCAAGGCTGTGACCTGACTGAGGGAAAACTGGAATTTGTTTCCTACCTCTCCAGGGAGTGGGGAACAATGCTGAAACATTGCCTGTTCAGGACACAGCTACTCAGAAATAGTAAAGTTCTTTCCCTGGCTTTTGATCTAGATTTTTTTTCTGTCATTAGATGACAGAAAATAGAAATTCGGAGAAAAACATGGTCGCAAGAAGTTCATGTTATCCAACAAAATAAACACTGGAAAAATTCTCAAATTTGTCCTATCTACACACAGGCCTTGTTTAGTTCTAAGTTTATTTTTAAAAGAATTCTATTGATTTAAGAACAAAGAGATTCTCTTTCAGTCCAGATTAGAGATCTGAAAGAAAAAGTTAAATAACAAGAACAGTAACAGTGTGAAATACTTACATATTAAGAGAGTCCTTTACCTAACATGACATGTTTCAAACTACTCTCAGGTGAGTAGGTGACTTTTATTTCCTTGCAACATCAACCGTTTTATAATAAACAACATGCCTTTTTTCCAAGCTTCACAGGTTCTATTTTTAGTTCCATGATACTGGGTTTTTTCCCTGACCTGACCCAACTGTGGTGCTGGGTCAAATGCTGCTGCAGTTGGGATCAGTGCTAAAATGACCACATTTCAATTGAAACAGGATTTGGCCTGATGCTTCAGACTCCACACTCCAGTATGTTTTGAAATAAAGTGCAGTATTCATTAAAATGACATTAATTGTCTACATATAAAAAAGGAGACTGAAAATTAATTCCTTTCAGCATTGTCAGTTGCAGCTTAAAAAAAAACCAAACAAACAAAAACAAACCCACACCATCAGTCTTTTTGAAATCTCACTTTCCTTTGGTTTGATGGGACATTCAAATTCTTATCTGTAATTAGTGTGTGCAAGTTTCAAACCTCCCTAAATGCAGCCACTGCCTAGGGGGAAGGAGAGGGGAGGGAGCAGGGGCTATAGGGGCTATTTAACACCATTCAAGAGCATCTTTGTTTACTGGATAGGAAGAGTACTGTGTGGCACACAAAGCACAGGGGAGCAGGAACAGACTGATGCCCAAGTTGGCATTTCACTTGTGTGTCCGTCTCAACACATCACCCGCTCGTCACAAAGGAGACATAAGCCTCAATTCTAAGTAGTCAGAACTTAGTTTTTACTTCTCTTAACACAAATACAGCCCTCTTTCTGTCATCCTTAAAATAATAAATAGATAACAATCCTGTTGCTGCTTCCAGCCATCACATACTACAGTAATGAAACTGTCTTTGACTTTATTCACACCTCTTGTGAACTTATTTCTGGTTTGTATTCTCTCCTTTTACAAAACTGGGATAACAATGTACACTTTATAGATATGAATATTCCTACTGAAATTCAACACCTGAATAACAGAAGGGAATTGAAACTTGCTCAATACTTACGGTTAGCAGGTTAATTAAATCCATATTGGGCTCTAAATGATGAGAGGCAGTTTGCAGGGAAACCAGTTCACTCAAGGTGATGGAAAGTTGCTGCATTTTCACTATGTTAACTTTGTTCTCATCTATCCAGTCCGGAAAAATTACATGGACAGCAATCAAGTCTTTCAAATGAACTCCTAAAATAGGAATTTTGAAGCCAACACAGTCAGCAAAAGCCTTGCGGTAGTTGCAGTAGTTTCCATTGGAAGAGACCAGCTCTGTCATTTCGTTCCAGTCCTACAAACAGTCAGAGAAGTAAGTCTCTGTGAAAGCATTCACAGCATTTCCTTAATCTATTTTAAATGAGCACAACTTATGTCAGGGTGTTGACAGTGTTAATTTCCTCTGTAGCACAGGCAATCAAGCAGAGGATCTCCATGAGCTGGGCCTTCTCCACCAAGAGGAATGCAACCAAAGTGCCTTTTAGGATGCCCTGCCATGACCCAAGAATTGTGCTGGTGAGATACCTGTACTGCAGAACCCACCAGACCTCAAAGATGTGATGGCCCGCTCAATATGTCTATATTCTGGAGTCCACCATACCTTTGTGACTTCTGAAGACAGATGAGAATGAGTTTCTTTCAGGCGAGAAATAGAGCTGTGGCTTAGACCTCCTACTACTGCCATCAGCGTGTTGAAGTTCTGGAGGTGAAGGAGCTTCTGCAGGAGAGATTGACCGTGCATAATTAAAAATCAAGGAAATACATGTGGCAGCTATCCAGTGTCACACATGACAAATGAGAGGCAACAACCTATCCCTGTTAAAACAGAAACCACTACACCAGGGGACATAACAGAATGGTTCAGCATTTCTTTTTTAAACTAGCTGAGCTCCACAAGAAACACACAATAGTGACAGCTGTCAACCAGAATACAACAAAGTATTTTACAGTAATGTCTGCTAGTTAAAAAATGCAGACATACTACACCTGAACAAATAACTTGCAGCGATGCTGAACTGGCTATTCACTGATGAAACAGCACAAAGAGCATCCAGTCCATTTGTTTACTGCAATCTCTATTTTTATTATTGCCTTACAGTGGAGGAAAAAGACTCTCATGCAAGACTTACCTGTGCAACATTGATAAACTTTGTGATTACTTCTGCCCTTTGCTGGGGTGTTGGTTTGCTGAGAACCATGAGCTGGACCCATTTGGAGATACCATTAAATAAAGCAATAGATCTCTCCAAAGTAGGATTGTTCTCCAAGCAGCCATGGATCACATAGCTTTGGTAGTCTGTGAACTAGCAGAGGAAAGGCATTTTCAGTAAAACGGCGGACAACTTAAGAATCAAATTGAAGCTTTGATCATTTTTTCCTTTTAATGCTCCTCTTGTTCAGAAAGTCACCAAGAGTCAGGGTCAGCGGACCCTGTTTCACATCAGTTCTTTCTTAAAATTTTATTATTATTGCTGGGGTTTTTTATTACTTAAATGTCAATTTAACACTTTAGTGTGTGTCTGATAATCCAGCAGCATGCATGATGAGCATGATTACTACTTCCATGGAATCACCTTTCCCATAATTTATTCAATACTTACAACACTTTAATCTGTGTAGTTTTACTTGACATCCTTATGGCATGATACTCCATAGGAATTATCTAGTGCTACAAGCAAGAAGCATATAAATAAGAGCTTCCATTCCACCCTATATCCTGATCAACTCCATTGTTCATGTAAAGAGGCAAATCTTGGCCCCACTGAAATCAATAGGAGCTCTGTCACTCTTCACAGGAACTAGAACCGCATCCCAAGAAGTTAACCCATTTTATTCCTTCTATGTAAAAAAATCCCAAAAAACCCAAAACCAAACCCCAAAACAAACCTGTAGCACAAGAAGCTACTTCTCCTAAAACCTGCTTTTTTTGATGTTACTGTTCAGTCCCTGTATGGGTATAGTTCTACATGGGGGAGCTACTGCTCTCAAGGATTAGATTTCCCCAAATGTTTGGAAAACATTTTTCAGCTGTCCCTTTAAGATGGATTTTCAGAAGGTTTGACCTAACTTTAGCTGGTGCAGGGAGGTGATAGCAGTGCCAGCCAACATGGGTTTCTTCATCTTAGCTGATCAAAAATTGCCTGCTAGAAGACCATATGATGGCATAAGCTCTTACACAGCAGATGCTCATCTCAGAGGTGCAGATAAACAGTATCTTTGTGTTGAGATACTTTAAGAAGCTTTCTGTTACAGTTAACACTGCCTTTTGTAATCCTCCCCGCATTTTTTAAAAAGGTAAATCTAGAGAGAGAATTCAGACTAATCATCTTTTGTAATTACATAACTTTGAGACAACGCTTTGGTCTACCCTGCAAAAATAAGTGGCACTCTTGATATTTCTAAACAGTTTACAGCAAACCACCTGGTCTCATTGACATCTCCAAATAAATGCCAGCTGTTTCTCTGTATCAGTTCTCAATTGTTCTTTAAATCAGATTTGTGATATTGGGCTTGTTTTTCAATCTCTATGGTTTGAGGTGTGCCCTTCACTTTATGTACTATTCTTACAACTTTTTGGTTACCAGTCTCATACAAACAAGCAACACATTTTTCAAACTTCTTTGTTGCATTACAGAATAAGATTAATCAGCTCTAACTGGTTGAAGAGAAACATGTGAGAGAGAGAGCAAAATTCAAGCCAAAGAATTAACAGGCGAATTATAATCAGCAAGGAAAAAAAGAAAATTCCTCGCTGGTCTGAGTTTTCTTTCTGGAATTCCCAAAGGATTTCAAATGTATCTTTGGTCTAGTTAGAAAGACATCCCTTTTTTCTTGTACCTCCCTTCTTTTGGTTAGCATTGCACAGATCACAGTAGGGTGTTTTCCCATGATTTGAAGTCTACAGTAATAAAGCTCTGAACATTATTAAATTATGTCAAAAGTGATTCTATGTAGACAGGTCTCAGCTCCTCACTGAACTCTGTTTCCTTTCTCTCTTCAAACAAACAAAACCCCTCATATATTTTCCTTAGTTCTGGAGTTTAAAATTTTTTTTTGCTCCTAAACACTTTTTTTAAAAGTCTCTTTTTTTTTTTTTTAGAGAACTTGCCATTTTGAGAACTTACTGCTTCCATTTGCCATCAGATACAGTGGCATCACATGACCTTTTCACAGGGATATTTGCCAGCACAAATCAGCATTTCTTTTGGCATTTGGGTTATTAATTTGTTTTGCTTTAGCCTCTACTTTAATTTTCACCCATTTTTGCCTCTTGTTCAAGTACAATCCTGTGTGAAAAGGAGCAACTGTATCTGAATTTTCCTCAGTGCTAATATGGGAGCAGGAGGAAAGAGAAGTTGTGCAGTCTCTGTTCTTGCAGGTTTTCAAGACCCAACTGGATAAGCCCTTGAGGTACATGATCCATGTCAGAGCTGACCCTGCTTTGGGCAAGAGGTTGACCTAGTGGCCTCCTGAGATCCCTTCCAACTGGAATTATCTTCTGATCCTAAGTTGGCAGATGAAAGGACAGTTTCTGAAGTAGTAGTTGGGAGTGAACACAGGCTAGAGAAGGAATATACATAATTCAGCTCTTCAAAAATTATTCAATGCAAAGACTCTGATGTTTCCTGAAAAGTAATTTAACTATTTTGCACAGAGGAGAAAAAAAGGAGCAACTGAAGATTTTGAACAATAACGTTAGTTTAATCAACTGCTGCAACATACGGCTGCAGTAGCTTTTAGCAGTAATTCCTGTCCAGCATTCCTCCACAAAATTAGCTTCTATCACTAAAAGCATCAGTCATGAAAAAAATCAAGAAAGTGCTGGTGCAGCCATGGCTATGTGCATGTATGAAGTATTATAAAGATTCACTACCCTGAAATGTTGAGGGAAAAACATCATACATGTTAAGCCATGTGAACACTCTTTAAGGACAGGCTCCTAATTGGAAATGACAAAGTTGTAGGCTTCTTACAGAAATTCTCCTAAAAGATTTATGCTCCAGAAAAGTGAGATGTTCAGCTAGCTCAATGGGCTCCAGATGGTCAAAGAGCAGGCAGGCTTTTCCTTTCTTGGAAATCTTCTTCCTTTGTGTAACTCTCCTCATCCAGTCATAGGAAGGACTGTAATAGAAAATTAGGTACAATTCTCATTTCTGTTTGGGTATATGTCAGTGTAGCCCATGGTTTGAAAAAACAGTATAAAATTACCAAGAAACAGACCATGGGCTTTCTGATCTGTGACATCCAGCATGTAACAAACACTCAGAGTAAGACCCATGCAGGTGCACAACAGAAGATAAGAGTTTCCTAGGTGCTGCTGCAAATGACAAATAACTGCGGGTTTCTATCAGAACAAAATGACAATCTGCTGTCATCTATGATACAGGAAGCCACAATTAAAAAATGCCTTGGAAATACAAGAACAACACGTCACAAAAACAGAATGAAAAAAGTCTGGAATAACATCAAGGTTTAATATTTACTGTGTAAGACCACAGGTCCATGAAATAATGAAACAGCAGAAACTGCTAACCAAACAGTAAGAATTGGGTGGACAATAAAGTAAATCATTGCCTTGCAAGAAATGGAATAATTTCTACCCATATACAATAAAAGCACTTCTGAGAGCAGAAGGAGGTTGCTAACAATACATTACAGTGAAGATTTAAGAGACAACCGTCTTGTGATTTCACTGGTACTGTGAAGTTGCAGGAAGTCTTCCAACCTTCATTAAGATTAGTAGTGCTGTCCTTCCAGGTTATTATGGCATTTTTTTAATAAGGAAAAATCACTGTGCATATGCTATATTTGAAAAGAAAATCTACAATGCCAGGTGAGATACAACAGTCTGTCTGGTGGTGTTTAAAAGGTAACCAGCCTGTCAAGGAAACAGTGTAATCATTGATACAATAAAACTATAAATGCAAATGCTAGAGGTTATCCAGATAAATCACAAGCTGTTAGAAAAAATTAACAGGTAACTTATGAGAGAACAAAAAAGCTTCCCTGAGAAAATGCAAGATTTACACAACGTGCCACTCACTGCATTGCTTGTCATTCTGTATAAAAAATTATAGGAAAAAAGTAATCACTTAATTGGCACTAGCTTTGTCAGGAAAATTATTTCTTTCCTATTTATATTAAAAACTTACCTACAGATTAGAATCTTCTCTTTAGTGTGACACTATAAGTAGAATTCCAAATATTTAGCAATTTCAAATTTAGAAGACAATATAATCTTTTTGTAACTCCTTTTTTGCTCTCTCAAGATCAAGATGGTCCTTAATGTTTTTATATTTTGCACAGAACTAGAATTCTGCTGTTACAGATACAAAGATGTTAAAGCTCATAACATCCTTACATGCTGGAGATATCAATGAGATGGATGTGATCCTCATATCCAAGCTGGCTGGCTACTTCTCGAAACTCTTCAGTCAAACGGATCAGCCCAAGATCCAAGTTAAACTCTGCAGGAAATTCCAAAATCCAGTATCTGAAATGCACAGACAGTGGTTAAGAGATGCCCAGGGATTCAGGTGTAACATTCAGTGACAGCATATATATAAGTCCTATCAAATAAAATGTATGTACAAGTATTTCAGACACACTAGTCTTTGGATAGAGTGGGCAGACTACCCCAGCTGGATCCTGCCGTGATTATCTGTGACACTAAAGTGGCAAAAGCCACTTTATCATCTAATTTCCTTTGGTTAACTCACCAAAGCACAACACAGCAGCATTCTTTTAAAAAGCAAAATTAAAGTGATGCCTCCCATGACACACACATGTGTCCTGTCTCACACTGCCCAAACACTTGCACTTAACCCTTGTCCAAACGAGACACTTTGTCTGCTCAGAAGAGATTTTTCAATTAAAATGTGCATTTGAGTGGCAGTTCTACTATGATAACCACGTAAATGAGATGTCTTCTCTGCTATTTAAGGGGGTATGGAAAAGGTTTTATCAGTCCTGCTTTCAATAACCCCCCTTTGCCTTTTTTTACAGTGATATAACTTGGTCCAGCGAAAGGAGGAAAAAAACATTTGTCTGAGGGAAGCAGGTTATATCATGTTAACTTAAAAAAACATGCTTTCTCTTTTATGGAGAAATGCTCCTACATAAGCACAGCCTAACACATGAGAGCTTTCCCATAGACACAAGGTCAGAAACAGTCAGGGCAAGGATCAGAACATACCTGACCTGTAACCGCTTTGGTATCACTAACACACTCCTGTCATCATAAATTAGGTAGGGATTGCATGAACTGAAATCGACAGCCCAGAGACAATCTTCCTCTACCACACTAGATTTCATCTTGAAACAACTTGTCTCTCTGCTCTGCATGGGACTGCACTCTAAGAGGTGTCACACTCAAACCCAGGTAAATCATAGTGCTAGTTTACAGTCAGCTTCTTAGGTCAATACAATTAAGTCTTAAAGGCTGGATGGCTCAATGTAAACAACTGTTTCAAAGCACAGAAATTAATTCTTCACTGTGGACCGAAGATCAAGTTAAAAAAAAGAAAAAAAATAAAAGCTTTAGATTTCCATGGTTTAGTTTTAATCTTTACAAAAAGACATTACATTGATAGTATTCACAGAAGCATAAACCGAAATACTAGAGGACCAGAAGCATGCTTACCTCATGAAATAGCAGATTTTTAATCTGAATTCATTGCAGTTCTCCCCACTGGCATCTCTATATGTAAGCTAGTTAAAGAGACCTTTGTGTGCCTTGATTTAGTAATGCTGTTTTCATCCACTCTGACACTAGACCAACTGAATAAAACCCAGTATCAATCTTCTAGAGATAACCACAGTATGCACTAACATTTCATTGAATTTCACAGCATCTTAGGGGACACAGACCGTTTCCTGGCTGCGACTTTGTTTTTTGCCCTATCAAAAATGCCTCTATTAATAATATTCAGAATATTTTGCTGAACGGTTTCTTGCCAGCTCTGGCTAACCAAATATGGTAATACTACTGATTACTGAAGTCCTTCAGAGGTATAAATGACAGGTAGGCACTTAGCTACCACTGAAAATTCATACTAGTCTAAGGCCAGCCATCCATTACACGTTTGACAAGTTATCTTGGTAATATATTTACACTTACTCAAAGTATGCCTCAGAAAACTTGTACATATGGAGAAAGTGCATAACCAATAACAGCAAAGCTCACAGATTTCCACCTTCTAGACTGAAAAATTCTCACTCCTAAACCTTGTTTGTCACTAACTGACACATTTTTACATACAGTCACAGAAACAATCTGCTTTTAACACTGTAATGTTGATTTGCAAGACTTCCTGAAAGGATATGTGGACAGAAGCTTGCCAGCCAGCTCTGTGGAAGGTAGATACCACCGGTGCATTAAAAGAAAGGTTCTTGGCAAATGGCTGGAACACTGATTTCCTTTGTCATCTGCAAAAGAGAAAAATGTGAGTTAACCACATTATTAAAAAATCGAGAGGAGCTTATACTCATCAAGTAGAGTAAAAGGCAAAGGGTCTAAAGTGGAAATGTTGGGTCATTACCCAACAAATAGGTAGGAAACAAAACCAAAGCACACACATGCTCCTTCAGTGATAAGTACTGCTAGACTGTAGTGGTAGGCGAAAAAAACCCACAACAACAGTGTAGATAACAGGCTATAGCTAGGAAAACAGGGTATGGCCAGCACTATGCTTAACATTATACAAAGAGATTGCCAGTAATCCAAAGAACAAATCCAAAATTAGTCCATTAAAAGGGTGGGGAGATGATTTATGTACAAGCAATTCCAATATTTGTTTTATTACAGCTTTATAGCTTTATGTTAACAAAAAAGGGATCAGCCTCAAAGATATTAGTGTCAGTAGGCAATATGCATGTATGAGATGGGAACAACACATGGACTACTCTTGTCAAGAGAGTGTGTATACAAGGAAAAGAGGCAGGCTTTCCAACAGACAACAAGACGTTGCTACCTCTCATTAGGTATTCAGAACAGGTTTGATAGTAGTTTACAAACATGGATATATAGGGATTCACTACACTCAGCAGCAAGATCTGCCCCTTAATAATTTTACCTCTCTCATCTTTAGATAATTGTTTCTCTCCACGAGGGAAAAAATAATCAATACCTCATTCCATTCAAAAACTGTCCTGCATTTCAAGAGAATCTAAATGTAATTTAAATTGAAAGTGGGGAGGTTTAGATTAGATATCAGGAAGAAGTTCTTCACGGAGAGGGTGGTGAGGTACTGGAACAGGTTGCCCAGAGAAGCTGTGGATGCCCCATCCCTGGAAGTGTTCAAGGCCAGGCTGAATGAGGCTTTGAGCAACATGGTCTAGTGGAAGGTGTCCCTGCCCATGGCAGGGGGGGTGGAACTAGATGGGCTTTAAGGGCCCTTCCAACCCTAACCATTCTATGATTCTACGATTCTATGATTTGTGTATTGAGGCCCCATTTCAAAGCATTTAAGCCCCTCCATGAATCTGATGGCAATGTGACAGATGTCATAATTAATGGTGTTATGGATCAAGGTCTATTTCATCACTTCTTTCCCTCAAACCTGGTATATCACATTTTAATTAGAGTAAAAAGATTACACGGAATATGAGTCATATTCTTGCCAATTGTTGCATGATGATTTGGAAAACCTTTCAAAAAATGACTGGTCAGAAATGCAGCTGTGTAATCACTCAAGACAAAGATCAATGCCAGACATAACTCCTTGAATAATTCAACTAAACACTTCTCTTGGTGAAGGCCAGCATTTCAAAAAACCACTATACCCACCACTGTGCATTATCTGTATTAAGAAAATTTAATATAGTGTGCATATGATTAAAATTCTGGCCCATGTGATTCTGGGCCAAAATGAAACATGGAAAATTTTACATAACAGAAATGTTGTTTGCCAAGGGAAAGACTGGATAAATCAGAGCACAGCAGGGATTATGTTATAAGATGACTTTCAAGAGCAGCAAAGTAAAATACTGAAAAAGCGTACCAAATATTTCAATACAAGCATTCAAAAGCTCATCCAATGTTGCAGCCTTCCCAAGTGTGTTTGACCCCATTGTCCTTTAATCGTTGTCAAAAAATAAGAGACATTTTCACCAAGTAGAATAATGCTTCTTCAGCTGCACAGCTTTTTCACTTTATTTTTGGTTGCATTCTTAGCTTGACTTCAAGGAAAATCTGAAGAAAGTAAAAGAAATCATAATTATATGACTATATATGAAGACTTATCAGGATGCAATGTTTACAGTTCAACTCATCTTTTCTATAAACTGTTTTTTCCCCACATGATACAGAGCACGTGAAAGACTGCTCTAAGCTTTCCCTGCGTTCCAGCTTGTGCTTTGAAGTGTTGTCCAATTGTTTGTTCACCAGCACAAAATAAATCTATAGCAAGGGTCAGAAACCAGAAACCAGATGGTAAGTGAGGTCATGCATGTACGACGACGCACATTTTGTTCAGGTCAGTTTATTTACACTTGGTACGTCACTTTTTGTTAATAATAGTGCTTTTATGGTTTTAAGCATAACCAGTCTTTTTTCCTAAGCTTACTGGTTCATGATAATGGTCTTAATTGGCACAGACTGCATGAAATGTTTAATGAAGTTCATAACAAATGTTAAACCAGGAGGCGACTGCTCAAAGAACCTTCAGATCAGTCCCTACAGCTTTTTAAAATAAATCATCCCATGGTAGCTGAACACTCACAGAAAGCTGAACACAACTTCTAAACTGTACCACAAATGTACTGCACATTTAATTATCAAATATCTATTTACCTGAAAGATACAGAAAATACCGTTACAAGTTTTCAGTAATAATTTTACAGCTTATATTTAAAGAAGTGAAGAAATCAGTGGTTTATTGTTTATCTGTGACTAAGTTCCACTACTGCCTGACCGTAACAAGTGTTTGAAATGTGGCAAACAATAACAAAGTACATCCAGCAACTTTTCTATAAAAAAAGCCAAGAGTAAAGCTAAAGCAGTCCTTCAAGCAAACCAATGCAGGAATCTGGGAAATTTCTTTTCAGAAGTTGTTGCACGTAACATAACTTTTTAATGTCAGTCATGCAAATCACAGATGAACGATATTCCTGCTTTAACTGACCCACAAATATCAAGTTTTTCAAATCTACCATATCACAGACCTCATATTGCAAATTCAGTCTTGGTAGGCCTGGCATTCTTCACCCTTTACACTAGCCCACCCTGACCACCTCCTAAGTGCCATGTTACAACAAGCACAGAGTGCTCTGAGCTTGGTCCCCTGTGAGCTTGCAGTGTTGCAGACATCATCATGGTCCAGCCACCCAAGGGACACTGGGCAGCAGCAGCTTTGCTGGCGCATTGATGCCACCTCAGCCAGCCAGCTCACACCCATGGCATGGGTCAGCATGCTCCCTTCTCAGCAACAGGCAGGGCCAATGTATCCTGACACTTACTCCTGGTCCCCAGAAGCAGAGAAAATGCTGCTCAATCAGGCTAGGTCTGCTTACTGAACTGGCCATGCCCAGACCAGCTCCCAGGTTCCGAGGCCAACGAACAGAGTTTGGTCCGTATCTATGCCAGTGAAGCCTCTGAACCTCCCAAACAGGGTTAGCACATGAAAACTGCTCTTTGCTAGCCTATGCTAGCTCTCACCTGTACGTTAGCTTCACCCAGGAGACCAGCAGAATCAAGGACCCTCCAGCAGCACAGTGTGTTGCATCCCAGCACCTGGAAAAGTGTCTCATATTGGACAATTCCCTATAGATCCAGCTTCAGAGTCCTGCAGCTCTCAGGCTACTCTAAGCATGCAGTGGTGTTTTGCCTGGAAGACCTTCAAAAGGTACCATTCAGTCAAAGATACGATCAGTTTTAAATGGGTGTCTACAGCCAGATTCTTTCTTATCCCATCCAACAAAGGATTTAGACTTGAGACACTTCCCTGGAGCTTAGAGAAGGACCCAACATGAAATAAGCACAACTCTCCAAGCAGGGAGTTTCTACAAGTCAGTGCTGCAGCAGCCCACAGGAAAGATGAGCAGAGGTGCAAGCATCAATCCTGCCCCGCCGGTGCCTTCCTCCTAGCCAGAAGCAGGCACATTCCCCTGTTTCAGTTCGGTGGTGCAGACCCCCTCTTGAAGGAATACACGTTTGTTTTTCCAGGAATCAAGCAGAGCTCCTGTTTGCAATGAACTGGGGGAAAACTACTCCTTTTACACCCCAGTAAGCAGCCAGAGCACTCACCTAAGAAAAAAGGGAAGGTGAGTTCAGAGCGGTCCTTGGTTCTGAACGCACGCTTGGCATTTGCAACAGAAGGCACCTTAACGGTTAGGTCTGCGACTAGGCTGGGCAGCCTCAATCCTTCCTGCTAAAGCTGTTCCTGCTAAAGCTGTGCTGTCGCACAAACCCCAGAGTTGCCAGAAGTGGACCAGAGATAGCATACAGGGAGATATGTGGCTCTCTAACCTCCTGGCCAGGCCACACATGAGCCAGGGTCACCCTAGGTTCAGTCTTTCTTCCCAAGACTGTTTATGCATTTAAAGGGAAAAAACTTAAGTAGAGCATTTTGCTTGGTTTACTTGCTTTGAGAGTTAGCCCGCTGCTGAGCAGTGCTTTCCAAGACCACAGCTTTGTACTTTGGCACCTAACTTTTGCTAGAATCCCACTTTGGGCATGTTTGTCCTTATAGACTATTCCAAAATCCTTCCCTAAGTGTGTAAAACACTGGCTTGATTTTTCACAGAGCCAGCTGTCTAGCTCTTCCAACTTCATCTGACTTAGGTTGGGAGGTTTTGTTTTATTTTTGGGGGGTTTTGTTTGTTTGTTGTTTTGTTTGAGTTTGGTTTTTTTTTCCCCAAGATATTTTTTAGTCAGCTCTTTAAAATATGGAATTGAGAAAAGCTATTGCATTTTCTGCCTCTCCCTTGAAAACTGCTGAGCATGAAACGTACATTTGATCTGCCTTTTCAGTTTTGTTAGTATTACCATCCTATATAATATACAGCATAGGAGAGTATCATTCCTATCTTCTGTTGGCAACAGTATTAAGGCAGCCATATACTAATCAACAAATAAAGCTTCATGTAAAATAGCAGGATTTTTTTTAATTACTGGGTAAGTAGTTGTCATGTAGATAACTAGATCCTGATGTTACAGTACCATCCACGCCAACAGCCTCTGACCACTAAAGGGTTTTATTCTCATAATGCTCCTAAAAGAAGAAAAAAAGCATTTCCACTAGAGGAAGAACTGACTGCATGGGGCTAAGCTACATATCCACAGCTGAGCCAAAACCTGGTATCACATCTCTTGACTGCAGACTCCAACAAACACAGCCATTACATCATTATTTGTGTGATTAAGCACTGCTGTTCTACTAGAACCATAAACATCTTGTCTATATCATACCACAGTGGTATCCAACCCCACCAACACCTCCAGAGATGGATGAGTAAAATACAACTATAAATTTCATCTACACAAATTGAATAAATTCTATTTTGATAGTCAATGGCTCATCACATGAGAAGCACAAACCCCCTATATATAATGAATATATATGCATAATAATGTCTATATATGAAAATGTATATGTAAAGAATAAAAACCTTCTAAATAAGTGGTTAAAATTAAAAAAAAAAATGCCAAAGGTGCCAAATAAAGATAACCTAGGGAATCTCTGCCCCCAGGTGCTTCCTAATGTAACTCTGAGACATCTCATTGCTATCTAGCTGCTTTGGGAGGATTCAGGAAAGCTGGATAAGACAAACAGAGCTCACTCAACGATACCACATAGTTAGTGAATGATTGCATACTACAATGAAACTAAAAAAATACATTCTTGCCTTATAATGGAATTATAAATCTTACTGGGTTTACTGTGGTTAACAGAAGATACTGAGGACACAGGAGACACAGTCCTCCACAGCTATCCATTCTCATTTCTTAATCAGGTCACCTGAAATGACAGACTCTACTACAAGTCTTGCTGGGAACCCACCACATGCTGGGAAGGGACTTCATGGCAATAGACAGGAAGAATTGTAGGAAAATCATCAATGTAAGCCTTAGTATTCCCTCAAAGCTTACAGCTCTGTCTAAAGACCCTCTTCATTTAGGTAATATATAGAACCATAATATTCCTATGAACCAAGTCATGTTTTGGGCATGTCATGCCTTATTTCATGAAATAGTACCATTACAGAATGCACATTTCCTATGAGGGTGAAAGCAGAAACACCTGCAGTGATGTGCCCAGACCGCTAAAGTTCATGATGGACTGAACTACAAGACAGAGTCCCTTCGAAGTTTTGCTGTCACCCCCACTGCCATACACACAGTTATTTTGAGCAGATGCCTTTTCTTGCACTCTTCCTGCAGTGCAATTGCATTTTTTGTTCAACATTTTAGAAGTCTTGAGATGACGCTGTTGTGGACTGTCCTGACAGATTTATTTAAAACATGTAGGCTGTGAGCTCTTGAGACAGATGTGGTCAGGTGTAATACATTAGTTTTTAAAAGAAACAGGATCCCCTGACAGTAAACTTGCGGTCTTATGCAAATGCATCAAATGGTGTGAACAGAGTGGGCAGCATGCAATCAAGTTTTAAATGCTGGCTACTGTCATTACAAAAATCAAAAGACATCACTTTTACTGCTGAAGGCGACTAAGGGGAGGTCCACACCTACAAGTTACAGCAGTTTAACCAATATGTCAAGCCAGCATAAATCCCTGTGTGGGCACTTTCACATGGATTTTAAACAAGTTATATTGGTTACAGGTGTAAGCTAAACACGTAAGTCGGGTTTAAATAGGCTTAGATTTGACATACAGCGTAATATTTACTTAGCTAAATTAAATCTAAACAGCTTTTTAGCTAAGACAAAGTAAATGTACACATAGCATTTTCCCCATTAATTAGAAGTGGGCTGTTTTCCTTCTACTTAGGGACAATAAATAGAGCCACACGCAGAAAGTTCAACTTTGACACAGAGGCACCTCTACAGGTCTCATTTTATCCATAAACTTTCCAGAGGCCTGATGAAGGAGACGCATATTCTTTACAAGATTAGGACATTCTTGGGGGTTTAAGTAAGCCAGACCTCCCCTTGTCTCCCCCTCCTCCAAGCCTACACAACACATTACTGAATGCTTGCATTAAACAGCTTCCACCTGGCTGCAGGAGAAAGAG